GTTTGTATTAAAACTTAATTTAACTCAATAGTAATCTTAAAAGTAAAATATAATTTATTCATAATTTTTCCATAATATATTACTCATGGCAGAATATGCTTATGAAAGATGTTATACGTCACTAATTGTACAGGTCTTACTATTTTTTTAACAACAATGTTAGGTGGCTCAAAATTTTGTGGCTTAAATGGCTCAAATCACTCAAAACGACGTCGTTTTGAGTGTAAATAAGTATAAAACGACGTCGTTTTGACAGATTTAAACCATTTGAGCCACAAAATTTTGAGCTACCAAACTTTTTCTTTTTTTTAAATATGATAGATGATTCCACACAGAGACATGACATTTATTCTATAAAATGATAAAATAAACTTGGTGACAAATAGTTTTCTCTATATTAATAAGCTTCGTTTGGGAAGCCATGGTTTGGACTTTTTTGATTATTTTAGTCACAAAAAATAAAATAGGCTATTTTAGCCATAACAAACAAAACATCACATCCAACCCATAATCATTACATTCTTCTCTCACAAAAAAACTCAAAAAAGCCAAAAAGTCAAAAAGTCCTTCCCAAACCAAGCTTTTAAGCCCAGTCTAAAATAGCCAAAAAAGTCAAAAAGTCAAAAAGCCAACCCACTTCCCAAATGGAGGCATAAGTTGAAAAGCAAGCAAGAGTCATCTCCGGTTGGGAAGTGGGTTGGCTTTTTACCTTTTTGACTATTTTAGCCTGGTTTGGGAAGGGCTTTTTGACTTTTTTGACTTTTTTTGTGAGAGATGATTGTAATGATTATGGGTTGGATTTGATGTTTTATTTTTTGTAACTAAAATAATCTATTTTATTTTTTATGACTATTTTAACCCCTAACCCACCAAAACCTTCTTGCCAAACCAAGCCTTAAATGTTTTTCTTATGATAAGTACTAGTGGAGGCAGTTTCTTACAAGAGTAATATCACAATCTTAATCAATTCTCTTAAAACTATTATGTATTAGAAAAATGATGGGTGGACACAATATTCGCAGCTCCAATGGTTCGAATTGACCAAAACGATGTCGTTTTGTGTTGTTTTGTATCCAAAACGACGTCGTTTTGGTCAATTCGAGCCATTCGAGCCTGGAAAATTCGGGCCCTCTATCATTGCTGTATGTATTATTACTTCTTAAAAGTATTATGAGCTCGTTTGACATAAATTATTTTGGGTTTTTTGTTTTGGCTATTTTAGCTCCAAAAAAAAATAAAATAAATTTTTTAATTCAATAAGACAAAATGTCACATCTAACCCATAAGTATTGTATTTTTTCTCTCACAAAAGTCATAAAAATCAAAAAGCCTATTCCAAACGAAACTTTTTAACTTTAAATTAAAATAGTCAAAAAGTCCACTCACATCCCAAACTAACCCTATGCATTATTACTAAATTAGCTATGATTTATCTCCCATAAAAAAATATATACACACCATTTTAATCATTGTACTTGTTTATTATTTTATAATATTCACTTTATTGTGTCAACTCACCAACATGCTCTAGAAGATTGCTGGGTCAATGCTCATTGGGAAAAAGGTAATCAATTTTTTAAGCACCCAACCTAACAAGCCCCAGACATATACTTTGCACCATCAACTTATCGGGTCGGGTCGGCCATAACACTGAAAGATCATACAAAATCCTAATTTTAATCTCATTTCACCAAGTTAGTTTGACGGTTTAGTACAACTTATCTGAGTTATTTATAACTTTTTTTATTTTAAAAGTTTGTGTTAAACTATTTAATACAGTTTCTATTTATTTTTTATTAAGCACAAATAGTTTAAAGTTGATTTATAAAAACTGGATGATGAATACTTTTACATTCTACTTTTAGATTATTAACTTTTAATTTATAATAAGTTACACCAAATAGCATGACTATTACATGATCCGGAGCAGTCAGAACCCGATGGGTAGGTCTAACCATAGGAAACATGTTGAAGGCCCAAGAACTCTATTCCTGTGATTAAAGAGACATCCCAACTATCCTTTGGAGAATGCTCATTAGAAATGTGAATGAAATGCAAGATGTCCTGATTGTTCCACCATCTGTTCTCAATATCTTATGCATAAACAGATCTTAGTGAATATTACTAGCATTTTGAAACAATACAATTCAAAAAATATTGTAAAGATTGCCACCTTTCAAGGTATTCTATTTCCAATACAAAATGCTACCTTATTAATTAAGTACTCCCAAAAAAAAAAAAAAATTAAATTAAATGAGTACATTCCGATTCTATTTGGGAAGAATTTAAATAAATAAGATTTTTTTTTTCTTTTTTAAAAAATCGACAGTAAATAAACCTATTTGCAATTGCTTCTCCATAAAAATCAACTATTTTTAACAAATTTGTGAAAAAAAATAATTTTGTCCCCCAATACTTTTAAACATTCCACCGTATCCCTACAAGCGCTTCCAAAATACTATAACAGTAGTAGGGTAATTTCTCAACTAAAAGCAAGTTCAAAAAAACCAAAAAAAAATAACCTTTTTAAGAATTACTAAACGCATCACTTTTTTAAATTCTAAAAAAGCAATTGTCAAATCCCACCTAATTCTAGGTGAGCCGCACGCCACACCACATTTAAATCTACACCCTCGACGCCTTTCCGGCCGCTCTTTCCCAAT